CTTTTGTCATATAGCACAAAATAGTGATCTGAATCAAATGAACACGGCATACCTTTTCTGGCAACTTAGTTCTTGTTATTCTTGTCTCTTTTTTTACTGAAATATCAATTATAAACCATGTATTCTTACTGTTAGCTGTTTTTGTCCATGCCGATGCAGGAGGGTTTAAGGACAGTGGTGATGATCCAGGACACTCTATAGGAGGATCTTTGTTTACACCCACGTGCGCACGGGGTGGCAAGAAGACAGAGCGCCACATACTGAACCATGGATGCAACGAGTACTTTTAAAAGACTGTATATAAGCACTTTAACGCAAGAAGATCAGAGGAGATATAAAGACAAGCTAAAAATAAGTATATGACACTTGTCCGTCTACCAGAAGACAGAATTACACGGAAGATTTTTAACTGGGACAGAAGTCACAGACATCCCTGGTCCAAAGAGGTGCTGCAAATATTGTCAAAAGTTGAATTCGGATACTTATTTCAAAATAATTTACAATGTAAATTGGTAACTCTAAGGAAAATGTTAAATGATATCTATGAGAAAGAATGGAAAGTTAAAGTTTTGAAGAAAACCAAGCTCAGAACTTATGTCCAGTTTAAGAACTGTTTTTCCACAGAAATGTATTTACAATCTAATTTGAGAAAAGGGCAGAGGTCTCTGTGTGCTCAGCTCAGAGCAGGAGTGCTGCCCTTTGAGGTTGAGGTGGGGCGTTACAAGGGGGTTCCACTGGATGGTCGACTGTGTGCTCTGTGAGCTGGGAGTAGTGGAGGATGAATTTCATTTTTTGTTTTACTGTCCTATGTACAATGACCTAAGAATGGTATTGTTCACAAAGATTCAATGTAAAAATCCTGATTTGTTTTGGCCTTCTGATGGTGATAGACTGTGTTGGATATTTGAAAATGATTTTTTTGCAGTGGCAAACTTTGTTGAAAAGGCCTGGACACGGAGACAAAGGACTTTATATCCAGAGAGACAGTAATATCTTTGTCCATAGATGTGGCTATATCTTCCTTTTTGTTGATAGTGTCATATAAGCCCATGAGGGCTGGGCACAAACTGTATGTGTATGACACTTAAATAAAATATTCATTCATTCATTCATATGAGACCGAGCTGAACAAATCCAAAGCCCAGATGAGACCTGGGATGACGAGAAAAACATTGCTCAGACTCACCTCTGTTTTGGCACTGAGTGCTGGGACTGGGATGAGCAACCAAAATGCAATGTTTGAAATTAATCATTATTCATGAATGAATGAATGAGTGAACAAGTACGCAGTGAAAGTAGTTGCAAAACTTAAATTTGTTTATGAATTTTTATCCCCTAATCCCCACGGCTTCCCGTTCTACGTTTACCGTAGGTAACAGCATAAAAGGGCAACCACTTTACCGCGGCCGTTTTTTGCTGTTCTTTTCCGAAAGAATAAGAAAAAAAACTGTTCCCAGCGGGCCGTACAACCAACCACACAACAAGAACGGGCCATTTTATTTAGTAAAACCTCTCTACAAACGTCTAAAAATAGCTAACTCTCTAGCATCCAGGTACACAATACAATACAATACAATTTATTCTTGTATAGCCCTAGGTCACAACAGAAGTCATCTCAGAGGACTTAACAAAACCATTGAAATCACCAACACAGGTCAGAGAATCAACAGTTAGCTTTCAATGCTGTAGTGCCTCACGGCCACGTGACCGGAGCGAAAAACTATAAACAACGACGTCCCTCCAAGATCCTCCTATAACAACATTTTTGGACATGGGTGATCTGCCGCTTAAGGACCAATGGCTCTATGTGTTTTTTCTCTGATCTGTGTTGGCGAATTTAATGGATTTTGTAAAGTCCTCCGAGATAACTGCTGTTGTGATTTAGGCCTATACAAAAATAATTTGAATTGAATTGAAAAATCAAGTTGTACAGATCTCTCTATAACCTACTTTATCATATTGACCTTGTCTCATCAATTGCACCATATGTGTGTCGGCCTGTCTGATGGCACTGGCTCTCGTTTCTCTCCAGTGATTTCTTACACTTTCTCCCTCCGAGTGCAGACTTTCGCAGGCTCCGTGTCGCAGTCAGACTTATTGATTGAGGCCAGTTTCTTTCGTCCTTTAAACTGTGCGACGGTGACTATAGACGGTGGCGCTTCTCTCGTTGGAGTCTTTTTGCGAATCAATCGGAAACACTTGTACCTGCTTGTAAGTGATCAGACAGCACTTCAGATAACTGGTAATGATTATGCAGACATAAACAAGGGAAATCACCAATGGAAGAGAGGAATGTTTGCGATACATTATTTACCCTGTATTTTCATTTTTTTGACCATATTTTGGAGATCCTTAAGGATAACACACAAATATGTTTTTCATGAACTAATCGTTCATGATTGTGTGTAGCCGTGTATTGTCCAAGGAACGTGGTTTATATTTTCAAAGTATTCCATCACTGAGTTTATCTGGCGGGAGGTCACATGTGCCGTTTGTGCAAGGTGGCCCTGGAAATTACAAGAACTGTAAGATATTTCGAAAAGACAGAAAATGGCGCCAACTAACAATGAAGTGAAACAATGAACAATGTGTTATCATTCTCCAAAATATGAACAAAACTTCAACATTTCTGCCAGTTGGAGGAAACTTTGGATCATGGCTGTATTCACTTCCTGCCACTCAATACCCTCATAAAAAAGTTTCATCCGGTACATTATTTTGTGGGTTGCCACTGTTTTGTCACTTAAGACTCATGAGATCATGGCTGTTTCATCCTCATCCAATAAAGGTGACATGGAACACTAGCTCCTGTTCAAAAGACAGTGAGATCACTGAGTCTTGACCTACATGTAGAACTTACCGGAGATGATCGCCGCAAAAGTTATATTTAGAAGAGAACAGAGCATTTGAATAGTGGCGACCTTTTAATGGTCCGTTTTGAAAAGGAAGCGAGTTATAAAATATGGATGAAGTCAGCGTGCCTGTTGTGTTGACATGTGGCAGCACTAAATGCTGTCATGGGAAGGCGTTGCTTTAAAGCAGGTCAGATCAAAATGTGCCGCTGGGACTGATGTTACCCGTCAGTGCAGCTAAACAAAGGCACAACATTAGAGCAGACATTCTCACTCTCACTTTGTTTTCAAAATGACAGTATCACAGTGCACTGCCCACACCCATGCGGTAGGGGCTGTTTTGAAGCCTGCTGTAACCAATGTGAGCTTTTTGTGGTGGCCATTCAAAAGGAATTACCAATAACACAGCTAATAATAAAGGGCTTGTAAGGGATACAACGAGGGGGTTTGTCATGTCGCTACAGTCTAATCTGGCCTGCAGGTTCCCCGGCACTGCAGCGCAGGTAACACGAGACTCAAAGATTCGCTGCATTAGTTCTGCTTAGCTAACCGTGAATGCTAATTGCAGGAAGAACAAACTGCTCCTCTCCCCTCCTTTTCCTCTCTCCTCCCCTTTTGGCCTTCACTGGGCACATAGGAGAACACACAGAGAGCACAGAGACGCTCAGCTTAACAAAGACGTTTGTACTGAGAGACTCGGCCACAGCAAAAGGTAAAGCGCAGTTAAACTGAAGGTGACGTTCAGCTGCAGCTTGTATAACTTAAACACTTAATAAGATGATTTTCAATTGGAGCTTCTTAATACACACTAATCACACATACAATCACTATAGGTTACATGCCTTAGATTGTTAGTTGGCCCTCTGGCCTTTTGAATCCTTATTATTATGGAACAGAACATTTGATTCATGGAACCAAACTGTTCTATTGGAGTAAAAAGAGCAGTAGTGTTTGTTGATGACAGTATATATTCCATGTGGAGTAAGATCAAATAGTGCCTATTGCAGAGTTTTGTGGTGTGCTAATACCGATACTGATCCTAATCTGAGGCAAGGTCAAAGAGGCGGTTCCACACCAGAGGCTATCGGGCTCAGAGGTGCTGGTCAGCCTGCTTCACTGGAGCTGTGATCACTGGTACTATCGTCTATCAGTACTGTGTTAGACATCTATAGGCTACCTGCAGGCCCTGGGGCCCCGCTATCATATAGCCACTGTACCAACACTGCTGTCTATAGCTCGCAGTGGAGATTTATTGTAATAAGGAGATTCCTTTACAAAAGCTTGGGAACAGAGGTTCTTCAAGGAGCTCTGCATGGTCCCACTGGGCACCCCCTTTGATCCCAACCTTTGAACCCTAAGGGTTAAGCCTTGCCTTGGCAAATGAGTTTGACATGATGAACCACTTCCTAATTGGCCAATTGCTCAGCAGCTTTTCTAGCTCTTGCTGGTTTTACAAGTGTATGTTTTCCTAACCACTCTCCAGTGTCAGTCCACATCAGCCATGAGGCCTTTGAAGTGTGTGCAGATGATGTGAGCGATTATAGTATGTCAAAAGACTAAAATAGGTTTGTTGGACTTTCGCCTGAAACATTACAGTCTTAATTGAGTTGAACCACTCTGTGTTCTGTGTACAAGGACTCTGTTGCCTCTCTTGTGGTGGCCTAACATGCTGAAGGCTACAGTAGCTCTTAAACCATAAAGAGAGTCCTGCTGGTGTCAGGTCCCACCCTGCAGCATTTGGTTTGTAAGCTTCTACCTCTCCTGCCTTCATCTTTTCGTCAATCAGATTACTATGTCTAATATATTGAGAGGGAAGGTTGCTGTCACTGAGCCCTGAGGCTTGGGACAAACAGGTGGCCAAATACTGCTCAAATAGCGGCTTACAAAGACAAAGAGAATATGTCAGTCTTTTATAGTTGATCATTTTTAATTGTGTTTTTATGTTCACTTATTGTTCCCGTTACTGTTCCTCATTGTCCTAATGCTTGTGTCTTAGTAACGACTATAGCAGGCAAATAAGACCCTGGCTCCTTACAGTTGCTCCATAATGTCTCCGTGCATCTGTCTGTATCTGCAGACCTTTGCTCAGGTGGATTACACCCATCACCTTTCCCAATGACCTCTGTAGTATTTATCCACCTGCAGAGCATGGGAATGTCTCCCACCTCTGCTCCGAGAACGTGCCGAGCCAGTCGCCCAGTGCAAGACTGATTGTGGAGGAGGCCAGAGTGAGCCAGGTCAGGCAATCCTCTGCCCGGGGCGCTGCTAATTACTTTCTAATGTGACGACGATTCTTTTGAAGCTGCTGACCAAATCTTTTTAAAAGCATTTTGGGCGTGCAGAACGCAGAGCTGTGGCAGGCCACACTGGGGCCAGAGGGGGAGCTCAGATTTCGCCCTGCCTGCCGTGGTGCAGTGTCGGTGGGACGGCCAGGCACCACTGCCCCCTCCTCCTTCTCTGAGCACTGTCCCTCCAGTCAGCCCTCACAGAAGCACATCAGCAGCGAGTCTGACACCAGCCGAGGATGCACTCTGCACATGAAACCTTACACTCAACTAATGGTTACAAATGTGTTTTCAAAGAAGTCCCAGGTCTCCCATACAGACCATAAACACACACAGCACTGAGCCGCACAGCCAATTGGTTTAATGGATTGACTAACACACTCATAGGGTTGGTAAATGAAAAGTCTTAACACAATTTTTAATATTTTTTAATTTGAACAGTTAAATCAATGACTGAGTTGTCTACTGCTGTTTATTTTCCGATTCCAATTTCATGACTTGTTATTAAACTACTGTAGAATTTAAGTCTAATATATAGTATTTTTTGTTATGTTGTTGTTGAGGTTGAGAATGTTGTAACAGGGCCTCTGAATGGATTTTTTGTGTTCTCCTTGTGTCTGTCAGGTTTCCTCCGGGTGCTCAGCTTTCCCCATCACTAAAAACATGTACAATAACACACCCTCTCCCCTGAAAAAGAGACTTTGAAGTCTCAATGGAACATCCCTGGCTATATACAGGTCAATTAAGTAACAATGTGATATAGTGCAGGCCAGTACTGTTCTGTTATCTACTGCCTAGACTACAGAGTATGCATTATACTTCTAATATGTTGGCCTGAATGTACATTTTTGCCATCACCTACATTATTAATCACATATTGACTTTCATTCTGTCATTCAAAAGAGCTTTTTATTGAATTTATTGAATCCAAAAAACAATCCAACAAGCCATTGTGTTATGACAAATACAAATGACAAAAAAATACATTTGGCCTCAAATGAATTCAAATCTCATCTAACCTCACCTTAGCAATGCCTAAAGATACTGCAGGTGGCTTGTGGCTTTGACTGACACTTCACACGGTTTGGGGCGACCCCTGCTCTCTCTCCTTGGCTCCTAAAGACAGTATATTCCCTGGGAGGGAGTGATCCCTAATTAGCTGTCAGGTGATAGCGTGGGGCTTTCATTGTCCTGCTCCCGCTGCTGCGCTGCAGGCTATGTGGTCTTCAGTCAGTCTCAGGCTAAAGTGACAGATCATCTCTCTATACAGCAGCCCCCAGCCGCTCAAAGACTCCACTTTGTCCATACAAAGAGAGCCCAACTCCCATATTAAAAACAAGTCACTATCATATCTCACTTCAGCTCTTTCAAATAAAACACAAGCTTTTTAGGAGATGTCTTCAAATATTTCCCTTTAGGCTGCGTCCTTCCTAACACAACTATCCTGGCTCAATGCACAACTAAAAGGAGTTATGCTGTATATGTATCTAGATTATTACTTTTTTAGTAGCATAAACAATATATATTTTGTGGCTATGTTGTTTCCCAAAAAGGTTTTTTTCTGTTTCAGAAGCGGCAACTCCTGAAAAGCGATATGATTTCTGCTTCTGTCTGCAGTGTTTCGGTGCTTCTCTCCTCCAGACAGTTCCAGTATCCACACACGCTGCTCTGGGACCTTGTTTGAAGGTCGTGTCAGCACCGGAAAGTAAACGCTAGACCTTTCTGCGGTCGGGGTAAATGTACGAGGCAGCCCTGCGGGAGCGCTCCTTCCTTGGCTTTAATCGGCGCGTAACAGGCCCTTGTAGAGCCAAACTGTCTGCGACACATCAGCACTTAGAAATGAGACCCCTTCAGCCAACCCAGTGACGGCTGCGGTCACCCCACACAGCCGCGCCTGCCCTGTGCACACACAGACAGACACAGGACGCTCATGTGGACCAGGCTGCTCTTCTCACTTGTGACATTCATCTCTATGAGGAAAGTTAAACAGATAACATAAGATACAACTTCATTGATCTCACAGTGGAGAAATGTGCACGTTACTTTCGGCATCAATAGGATCTCAGATTGTGCAAATAGGCAGAAAATGTGCATGCAGTTAAAAAGGAAGAAGATTTAAGGAATGTTATGTGGAATAGAGGTATTTATTATCAGCTTACATGGACAGCCAGCAGACTTCTGATTCAGACTTCTTTAGATGAAGGCAAACCTGGTTAGTGCTTGTGCTCACAGCAAAAAGGGCCTAGATTCAATTCCACCTCATGTTCTCCCTGTGTCTGTGTAGGTTTCCTCTGTGTGCTCCGGTTTCCCCTACCACTAAACACATGTACAATAGGAATGAATGTAATGAGAGAGAGAATGGATGGTGATGGTCCGGGGCTTCAATGTTCCAGTGTGTTTGGTGTCTGGCTTCTGTCATTACCGTGTGGAGTGAATGGGAATTACTTGTACACCAAATATGTGTGTGACCTTGGTCTGTGAAATGCGCTATATAGATAAAGATTACTTACTTTAGGAGGAAAGAAGTCATGGTACATGCACTTGTACAAAACTAACACTCATTACATTTACATTGAGATGTATTTTGACACACGTGAACCTTATACAGATTGAAATACAGTAACAGAACACTTCTGCATTTGATCTGGTTTATTAGCGTTTTGTCTGTTAGTCTATGATCATGATTATCAAAATCTGATTTCAATTGTCAAAAGGGAAGCATTTATTGCATTGTCATAGATTCTATATTTTACAAATATACAATTTAACTTCTGCAGATACTACTATAGAATAAGCTAAAAAATTAAATGTATTTAAATATATGTTTTATTAACTAAGCAAAGGTACAAATTGTGTATCTGAAACGCTGTGTTTTAAACATTGTTTTGCATGTGCTTGTATCTTAATGAGATGATGCAGCTGCTCACTCATTTATCATCTTGTGGAAATAAACAAATTCACAATGTCAGTGAGACAAAGCAGAGTATACTGACATATCTCGTCCGCCACTGAAGCCAATCATTTGAAGCAGCCGAGAAAGCAAATTTAACAGTTCTAATGCTCTAGCCGAGAAACTTAATTTACCAATTTGCAGGAAGACAAGATGGCAGGAAACAAGCCAATTTGCCACGTGTGCAGCCTCCCTCTCTCCCTCTCTCCAGCCCTCTGTTGGCTCATGAGAGGTAATTATCCCTAAAAAGAATGCCATGCCATATTAAGATGTGGCCGCATCAAAACGAGGGAGACAGCATCATTACCAGTAATTATGAGAGAATTAGAAACATCATTTAACTAAACGAGCAAATAATGTCCAGGATATTGAAGAAGCTGCCTGCACTTCTGCCGACCGCTGCAAGTCCCATTACAAAAATTGTAGGTCTTTAATAGAATAATGACATGCTTTATCTTGTGCTGGAGAGGGTCTTGTGGAGGAGGCAGAAAACAACTGTTGCGCAGCCCTCTCTGCTCACCGCGGGCCGCTCTTGAGCAGCATAAGGCCTTCAAGATAATCCCCCTATTATCCTTACAAATACAAATTGGAGAGCAGTAAATTGTCCGTCACATCCATTATTGTGTCAAAGGTAATGCTAATGGACTTATCTCTAGAATAATAGCTGATTTCTGCACGGAACAGTTTCCTATAATAGTTTGATGCATGCAGCGCAGAGAATGGCACTTGAAGCAGGCAGTTCAAGAAATAGTTGGTAATTTGCCAATGAAGCATAATGCTTTTTCCATTAACGTCCAAATGCAGACTTTTGGGCTAAATATTGTTCTTAAGGAGCTTAACTTGGAAGAAGAAAGGGTGCTCCTGGAAAGCCTTTAGTTGCAAAAAAGCTTAAATGTGCAATTCATACAACTTGGAAAACTAGGTTAAGTAAAAGTAACAGTTAAATATAATAAAATTAGGCCAACCTCAAGAACATTTAATGTCATATTGTATATGTTTTATGTATTGGATAAATTATATTTTGTCTGCTATATAAACATGCAATGGTAGTCATTATATTCTATGAAAATCAAAAATTCTTTCAATCATGATCTTAGAAATAAAAGGTTAAAAGAAGGGCTTTCTTTTACTACTGTACATTTTTGTGAATTTTTTTTTTTTTTGCCGCAACCACGCATATAAACGTATTACCAATTTGTTCAGAATAAATATTTCATTTAGTTTTCACTGTGTTCCAAATAGCATGCCTTCTATATACATGAATATACAATGCCGGGTTGTAAAGAGGGGTGAGCAGAGGGACACAAATACAATTTCCCTTCAGCTCCTCCATTTCCACTTGATATAAAACAGAAATCATGAAAAATCACTTCTGGTCCAAGCTCTCCTTTTTAACCATTAGGACATAAATACAGAAGCTAGTTAAAGGCAGCGGATGACAGGGACTGGCTCAAAAACCTTGTTACACTGCTCTCAAATTCATTTAGTCTCCAAACAGGTCTTGAGAGTTGTCTGGCTTAATGCATGGCGATCGCTTTTAAAACTCTCGTCTGGAGGAAAGCCCTGGACTTGGCATCTGTTCAGTGTGTAGTTCACTGTCGGATGAGATTTACTTTTGCAAATTATGAACTTGCAGAATCACATTATTGGATCACAGATTTCAGTGACTGCATTTTCAAATAGTGCAATAAAATATATAACATACACAATAACTTAAAATGTAGGAATTATTGCGTTGAGTTGTAAATGCGTCTGTGAACGTGAATAATGAGGTTACTGCAAAACGTCTTTACCCATGTCTTTATTTCCATCTCAAAACCACAGTATGAGCTTTCAGTACTTTTAAGAATGATCTTAAAACCATGTCTCAGTTTTATTTGAAAATAAATTGGAGGAGTATTTTTATTTTTATTTTGGAAGTCTTAAAGCTTGTCTGCTTGTTTCAGATAAAATAACCTTTATTTATACCAAATTTCACTTTTCATAGAAGTGCTCTTCCTTTGGTTCAAATCTACCAACACGTGGCAAAAAAATTGATCCTCTTGAAAAATGGTTGTTATTATGAATCCAGGACGCTTTCTTTTTTTTTTCTATTCATCCAGGACACTTTCTATACAGCGACCTGGTTTCCTGTCCTCTATCAGTCTCCAGCTTTTGTCTGTTTCACGTCAGATTTAGCACCTAAAGGGTTGACTTTTTATTGATTCAATTTAATAATGTACAACTTTATATTGTCCCCTTATTTCTGGAAATATTGTAATTTCAACACACTTTACTGTAGAAGGATTTATAATCATAAAAACTAACTAACTTTTCGAGTTAATGATGTAAGTGAACGCTTCTAAACGGACTTTTGATCTACACCATGTTATTCCAGGGAGTAAAAGGGGTGATATCCTTAGGTTTTACAATGATTCATTTTCATGTAAATACTCTCTGAAACACCCCTAGTATCAATTTGTCCAGCCGTGCCCCTCCTCTGCCTCCTGTGTGAGCCCACACTTCCCATTATACCCATCATAAATTACTATGGGCCGGTGAATTACACTTGCTTTTCACCTTAGCAGGCAGCTCAGATGAATCCTAAGGCACAACACATCATCTCAACAAATCTTCATCACCGCTCGCTCGCCGTTCCGCTCCCGTTTAAACCTCTTCAAATCATTTTCATTGCCTTGCTATTAACATTTGTAATTCACAGCTGCCATTGAGCTGATACATGGCACATATACCGTCCTCGTTCGCCCGATATTTTGACTAAACCACATCCACCCTTCATCCTTCTATCTCCATCTGCACGTCTGTAAATCAAAGCGCCTCTGTCTGACAGCTCATGCAGATTCCCCACCAGTCACCGAGGCGCAAACATCCATCCCAAAATGTGCAGCACGTTGCTGTCACACCTGATGACATAATGACCACTTGGAAACTAATAAACAGCTTCATTCAACCCTAAACTATTGCTCCTTTTCATAAACGGCTCACCTCCCCTGGTCTCGCTGTCTCCCTATCTGTCACACATTCATCCCCTCTGCACCTCTCCGGAGTTGGCCATAAATCACGATTGTTGTCGAACGCTATATCCATTTTCCCGGAAACACAAGGTGGCTGTTGCAGAAATTGGGTCAGGCATAATCTTCAAAGCGGCAGAGCTTAGTTGTGATCATGCTTGATAATGTAGCCATTAGCACCCATCCACTGAAAGATTTTGGGACGGGAATAGAGGTGTGGTGGTCCCTTAAATGTAATGTCACCCAAGTGGTTGAATAATAATAGAAATGAAATGTAAACTATGTCATCCCCAGTGTGTCCAAGAGACCAGTGCAAAAGATACAGCCATGCATTTGATACAGTGAGATTGTTGGACTCATTGTGGTGTCCTCTTACAAGGCCTGCTGCCTGAGAAGTCTGAAGACGCACACTTCAAATGCACCGAGGAGCCGCCCAAAGGCCACTGGCTGAAGATGACGTGGGTCTCACCTGCGTTCTCATGGTATTCTCATACCTCATACTATGTTGACCTCGGATCCACAAAAGGATTTGTCCAATACCAAATGGTAAAATATCATCAAACCGTGTAGAATACTTAAGTGGCTCTTGCATGTATGTAAATGTGGGTGAGATGTGTAGGCCTAAATAATGCATTATTATTATTATTATTTGTAAACTTGTTTTTTTATTGATTGTCTATTCATAGTCATATTTTTGTATGAATAATTTTTCTAATCTTATTTTTTGTTCGAGTGAATCCAAAACCATATCTATGTTCCATGACTGGATATTAGCTCTAGAAAACATTGCAAAATGACATAAAAACTGTTCTCTGAAATAGAAAATTTATTGAATGGCAGTAATTATTGAGAGATTTTATAACAATAGAAAGGATTATATTGTGAGTGGAAGCTTGAGCTGGTCCTGTGGGTTCATGTCAGGTGACATCAGATATATTTGACAAACCACTTGTTTGGTTTAAAATTAAAATTAAAACAATTTGAAAGACCGAGTCATTTGTTGACGTGATAATGTGAAAAGTCAATGTCATTGTTGTGTTATTGAGGAAACAATAAAAAAAAACAATCGTACAAAATTATTACAATAAATATACACATGGTGTATTTAACGTTGAAGCGGATCGCCTTCAGTGAGACATACAGTTGCTGCATAAGAGATCTCAACACATGGATCGGTGGGGTGCAGTCACGGCCAGTCAGTACTCGAGCTTGTTGTACAAGTTGTACAAAGGCAGCCCTGGCAGGCTGCTCCCGGGATAATACAGCGGGGTGGGGAAGGCAATGGAGCGCGGCACGGGCACCCGCAGTAACGAGTTGTCTCTGAAAACTAACGGCATTCCCACGAGAGTCTGCGCCGAGGCGTGCGCCATGTTGGCCGCCTCCAGTTCCGCGGACAGCTGCCGCTTCCATTTGTTTCTCCGGTTCTGAAACCAAGTCTTGACTTGTGTCTCTGTGAGCTGCAGGCTGGACGCGAGGCAGGCCCGCTCCGAGCTGCTGAGATACCGCTTCATGTCAAAGGTGGACTCCAGCTGGTACACCTGACTGCGCGAGAACACGGTGCGCGTCTTCTTCTTTGCGCCTTGCTTGTCCGAGCAGTCAGACTGACGCTCCTCGCACAGAGGCGACATGTGGCACGCTCCCTGCTCCTCCTTGTAGTCCTGCAGCAGCGGCCGGCGCCCCTCAGCGGACAGCAGACCTTTGGTTGGACCTGTGCGTAAAAGGAGAGAGGCGTTTAGGTTTCGCAACACACTGCGCAGCGGGGGATTGGCTCTAAAGACTCGCTCGTATGTATAATAGACAAACAATCACCCGAGTGTGAAGCCATCTACTATTATTTAATTCACTTCTATTAAATGCTCGATTGACGACGTGTAGTGCGCCATTTTGGAATACGTGGTTCGTCAATTAGGCTATGGCTCATTTGAATTTGAAATGTGAGGAAAGTGCCAGGAAATTTCTAATTGCAAATTTACAGAGCCTTCTACACAGTAACATTCACTAAAACAAACTGCACAGCACACTATTGTCACAAGTTTCTATTGTATTAATTTAACAAACAAAAAAACTCAATGTGATGAGGATTATGAATAAGAAATGTATAACAATAATACTACTATATGCTAATGATATTAATAAATATTACCCATATAATTATTAATATTAATGATACTGCTGTATCATAATATTAATGATACAGCAACAACGACAACGACAATAATAATTAGAAATAATAATAGACCTGATGCAGGCCCAAGAAATCACCCTACAGTGCACCTATTCTGAGACGCGTCTGAAATAGTGTCATCATCGAGTTTGCAGTCCCTCAGGCACATTGTACCTGGGACTGCAAATGTAAAACACAAGAGTATACCATAATAATAATAATAATAATAACAATACAAATAATAATTATGGTTATGATAAATAATAATACACATCATAGCTTACCTAAACAGGAGAAGTTGTGAGTCTGGGCACACGGCTCGCTGTGGGTCGTGTCGGAGGAGCAAAAGCAGTCTGCAGAGTCCTCTCCTCCGCTGCAGTCCTCTGAGGACACGGACAGAGAGCGGCGGCGCGCTGCTGCGTGTGGCGGAGGCTCCTTGGAGGGTGCGCGGGGAGGATCCGAGCTCGTCCCCAGAATGGACTGGATGGTGAAGCTGGAGATGGGGCCCGAGGAAGCCTTGCTCCCGCTGTCTTCTGCACCGCTCATTGTAGCTTCATAACAGTCCTCGCGCTGTGTCGCTTTTGTGTCAGAGCCTAAAATACTGCCTTTGTCTCGTGCGGCGGTTAATTGTGGAGTTTTACATTGAAGGAGTTGTTTTTCTCGAGCTCGGGGAACATGAATGTAATCCCGGTCCTCCTCCTCTCGCTCTGATCTCCAGCAGTGGGCTGCGTGGCTTCATTTGCATGTAGGTAAGCTCCTCCTGGGCCAATGGCGGCTCCGCGCTCCAGCCCGGAACTTTCAAACAACTGTCAAGTCTGATGGGCCCGGAGAGGGAGAGGCTGGTGCTGCACTGTAGGGCTATGTGCTACGCATAATGTAGTAATAATAATAATAATGAATATGGTTATAACAATAATATTAATATTGATGATGATGATGATAATAATAATGATAAACTTACCTCCTCATTTATTGTATCATTGTTTGTAGTAATGTTTTATTCATTTGTTTCATTTCCAGTGAGATATTTCATTATCTTCACATGCCATATTTCCTACATATCCTCATGACACGTTATACACACACTATTCACATGGTGTAAACACGGGAGGGTATAGGGTCGTAATGTGCACACGCATGAGACAGGCGCGCGTTTGCTTCATGTTGCGACCTTGTCCAATTTCATGAAAATAATAAACTCACTCTCAGTCTATTATCTACAATTAAGAATTAATTTTATCATTAGTGTGGCTAATCTGCTTTATGATGAGAGGTGGAGGCCAGCTAATTGATTGACTAATTGATTGGAGGGTGCGAGCGGGAGCGTGCTGTGCGTAAAGAAGAGAGGCCCTCTGCCATCTCTGCCCTCTTGCTCCGTGTGGGACAGCTGCTTTTGTTATACGGGCCCATGCACGTCATGCACTTTCATCACTTGTCAGTGCGTGAGACTGGACATAGTTGTGTGATATATTTTGTTACTATCATCGCCACACTACAACATCTGGGCACGCGCGTAAAGACGGCAGCTGCTAAACGCTCGAACCAAAACGCCGGGGAGGAATATATGAGGCCACGATGCAGGATTTATGGCGTTTGCACATAGGCATGAAATCCACAATGACACTAAAATGGGTTTATTTTATCACGTAGACCTTTGTATCGCCTCCATCACTTTGACTTTCGTGTTTAATGCGTGGTGTTTATTTGGTCTATCTGGCTGACAGTGGTATGGTAATGTTCATGTCTCCATCTCAATGGGATTATATGATTTTAAAGCATAGCAGCCTCCGTCAAAGTGATAGGCCTATGTGTCGAACACGCACCCTACCGCAATAACAAAACAAGATCTTGGAAAAAAGAAGGCAGCAGAAAGACAGATGAAGTTATGAGGAGCTTTGATCTGAGAATCAAGCTTCAATAAATATTAAACAAAAAGCCTTTTTATACGTTTGTATTATGATGTATGGCGTGTCCAAGTCTAGAATAAGGAAATTACCAGAGAAAATGATATCAATAAATTTTCTAAGTATAAACGTTGATTATGTTTCGATTTTCATTCAAGGGAGCGGGCCCTGCTCTTTTTTCAGGGGGCGTTTTGTGCGTGCATCCTGGCGTGCGTGTGCGTGTGCGCGTAAAGGAGAGAGTTGTTAACGCGAGCAAAGCGCGAGCCCTGAAGGTGTACAATTTATGTAATGTGGGGTGTGGAAATGAACTGGGTAATTTATTGGAAAACACAAAGTCAGGAAGATGGGATCAGTACAGCCTATCCAAAGGCTCCTATCCATCAAGTTCCAATTAACAACCTAACCATTGAGTTTTAATGGCTTTCCAATCTACTGCCCTGATAGACTCATCAATTCCTCAGGGAGAAATTAAGAAAATCGACCGCCCCTCGGCGTTTCACTGTCATTCTTCACAGCAACTATATGTCAAATTAAAAACACAATTAAAATTTAAACTGTTCCAATCAGACGGTGCCCCGCAACCTATGTTTCACTTAATAGAACTTTGATGAAAATCGGATGCTTGCGTTCAATCAGAAAAGCAAATGGTGTGGCTTTTTAAAACAAGATGCATACAGCGTGTGAACTTGTTTTGAATATTGAAGATCATGGGATTTGTAAAAGGCATACGTTTGGAGTGAAGTTTCCATGTCGTTGTCATGTAATCTTGTCATTATGGGATGGGATCTTTCTACCATTTCATTAACTGTTGATCAGGATCATGTTGGTGGAGTTTTGAGAGAGTCATTATGGATTTCCAACATTCATTTTTAAATGAATTATATTTAACACTGATTTGACCACTTTTTAAACCGCACTTTTTAAAGGTAGCACTGACACAGAAAGTGTGCTCAGATATAGGCATTAGCCTATGTGTTTATGTGATGTTCTTCAGGGGGTCAGGATTCACGTGTAGGCCTTCATGGGCATCTGCAGCTTTCCATAGAAGTAGAATTCGTAACCCCTCTCATGAAGCGCTAAAGCTTCGTATAAATGCTCCAATTTGTGTATGTGGCAGATTTGACTTCATCTCTAATAATTGTCCATCACATAGAGGCTGCAGCCACAAGAGGCGTGCATTACGCAAGGTGGTCGTGCCACTTGTACGTTTCCAAACTGCTACTAAAGCCTCTGATAGGGGGCTTAAAATTACCCATTCAGCTCTCCATTTTAATAGAAGGTAGTGGTGGATACGCACGCTCCACGGTCACGTCCGCTTGTCCCCTTTCCTGCAAATGTATTTTATCTGATTTTGGCCCCGCTCTCTTTCTCTTTTACATACAGATGTCGCACAAATGGAAATTATTGAGTGGTAATTTTTACAATTTATGCGCGCAAATCAAGGTCATGTGCCGTCCCAAACTGACCCGTGAACATTGCTCTTACTTGACGCAATATGGCTTAGACGTTTGGAGATCGATATGTGCCAGAGGAATAATGCCAATCTATTCATTTACAATAATGGGGCCGTTATGAGCGCGCGCGAGGTGCACGTCAATAATTGGGTGCTATTTGAATGAACCCTTTGTCTCTCGAAGAGGTCATAATGGGAAATGTAACCGACTTCTTCCTTTTCAATATTGGTCAATACATTGACTATTTAAAAAGAGAGAGATCATGAAAAGGCCAATGCGTCATTTCTTTGGCCGCGCGAGGATTTTTGAGAAAGTTGTTTTTATTTCTAGGCCTATCTTAATTCTTTGATGTCTTTACTCCAAAATCATACGCTTGAACTTTTCTGAAGATTTTTACAAATTTGGTATTTTGGAATTTATTGACTAGAAAATGCTATATATTTCTATTTAATTCTAATACTATTTATTTTAGCTTTATTTTCTCATCCCAATTGTGGTCATTTGTGTGGTACACGTTAAGCTAAAGCCTAATATTCCACTCTCAATTTGCACCATGCGGACTTATTCAGCCGTAATTGTTAAATAATTTAATTTCTACCTCATTACACACGAGGGCCGAACATGGCACGAGGAGTGGAAAAGGATATGAAAATTGAATTTTATAGAATGCTATGAAAACTATGTTATTTTTAATTGAAGATGAGAACATTTAAAGTACGCTAAAACATTCCAATTCTGATTAAAAAATGCGAGAAATATGTTTGCGTCGTGAATATATTCGATTATTTTCCTCCGGATGGTGCCAATTACGCATCTGATTGAATGCGGTCATGTTTATGCAAAATGCGCGCGTCTGAGAGCGAGCCCACCTGTCCGAGTGCAGAGGTGCAAGGGGCTAGTATTCATAAACTAAAACGTATGCAAAGTGGGCCTGTTGCACAATTACAATATGAGCATAAAAATGTAAGGAATATTCTCCATTTATTTCACAACATGGTTCGGCAATACAATATCAAAACGTGTGTTAACTGTACAAAGGAGAAGCGGCAGGTGCATCCCCTCATTAAATATATACATTTACATTTGTACACATGTGGTCCAGCCGCGTTCTGCTCAAACAAATCAACATAACACACACAGTCACCGGATCGCTCGCTTGTGCTTTGAGACACTTCACGACCTAAACATAAAGCTAAAGATATTTTTTACACTTCTGCCTTGATTGTCTCCGAAAAGAAAATGTCACAACAGCGCTCCCAACATCATCATCATCATCTCACACGTGGCGATTGTGTGACTTTGTTTTTTTTTCTGTATTTTGTGTATTGCACGCACTAAAAATGGACATTTGAGAAAGAAAAAAGAAAGAAAAAGATCAGTAGTGTAAACACATGAGTGGGTCCCATGTCATCAGGCAGTGTGTAGGCAGTGGACTCCTGAGGTCTGAGGTGGTGCTACAATAATAATAATAATAATAATAATAGTAATAATAATAATAATAGTGTGACACGTAAAGTTGTCAAGCCCAATCAGTCCTGGCAAATGACCATAGTTGCCTGCTTTTTTCCTTTTTCTTTTGTCCATATAAAAATAAAGTTTCTCTTGATTATGAGACACGTTCACACGGGTCTGAGCAGTGGCACGGACGTCACTATGGGGTGAGAATAGTACACGCCCGGATGTGGGAAGGTGAGCAGAGGCTGGCTGGCGGGCACGCTGGACGAGGCGCTGCTGTTTTCTGCGGCAGAGTTCTCGTGGTACAGAATGGGCACCCGCACAATCCTCTGGGCCGCCGCATGGCTCAGGTTGGCGGCCTCCAGCTCCGCCGCCAGTTGCCTCTTCCACTTGTTCCTGCGGTTCTGAAACCAGATCTTGACCTGCGTCTCGGTGAGGTGCAGAGAGGCCGCCAGCCCTGCGCGCTCCGAGCTGCTGAGATACCGCTTCATGTCAAAGGTGGACTCGAGCTGGAAGACCTGACTGCGAGAGAACACGGTGCGCGTCTTCTTCTTGCGGCACGGCTTCTTGTCGTCGTCGCGCTTCTTCCAGTCGTCTGTGTCGTCCTTGCGGGCCTCCTCTGGGTCGCTCTCCTCCAGGATGATCTCGTCTCCGCTCTTGCTGTTGTTGTGCTCGTCCTCCTCCTCGTCGTCCTTGGCCTCAGGCTCTGTTTTGAGGAGGAGGTCTGGAGAGTCCCGGTCTGTGCCCGACGTGGGCGAGGAGTCTCTGGCCGCGGCTTTGTCACTCACTAAAAGACACAATACACACGGTTTACTCACTGCCTGTTGATTCGCCTCTATTGCTGTTATAGCACCTATATCACTTTCAAACCCCAAGTGTCCAAACCACACGGATAAAAGTAGCAGCACAGGTGCCAAGGGACACGCGTCATCTCCCTCTTCTCATGATCTGCTTTTATGCAGCAATGTGACAGTTTATTGATCTATTACTGTGCGCGGAAGTGCCCAGCAGCCGCAGTGGTTTGGTATACAAGCTGTTGGCTAATTAAAAAGGTATTCAAATAGAAACAAATGGGCCTGTGTCATAGTTATTGTTATGGTTCATGGTTGCACTTTGCGAGATTGATTTGAATATTTCCTATGCTTCGTTTATAAAAAGGTTCGCTATTATGTGACGGATACTTCCTCTGAATTACATTAACGGTCTAAAAGAGTCCATGAAACGTTTAAAAACTACATTTAGTTTGGTCTTTTCCCCATATGTATGTGTTCACTCCCTTATGCGTGCTAAGAGTATAGCCTCCCACAGCTCCCGATAAAAAAACAGAAAAATCAAGGTACAATGGTTATACACACATAGATAAGTACATGTAAAAGCGTGCACAGATCACACAGTGTTTACCTTCAGCTCTGTGGTGCAGGTGCGCCGCGGTGCCCAGGGTGTAGGGGTACCACCATGCCGAGGTGCGCTCCAGATAGTGCGCAGGCAGACTGAACCTCTGCGCCGGCAGCTCAAAGCGAGGGAAGCTGAAGTCTGCCACCTGCGACAGGGAGAAGCCTCCTTCTAACGCCGTCTTCGAGGCAGCCAACATCGGCTTTGGCTTTGACGGTTTGCTGTCACAGTTGAGCAGGTTCTTTATAAAGAACGGCGAGTCTTTGGCAGAAGTCTCTTGCGTCGTTTCAGGCATCTCTTCGGCTTCTTTTTCAAATTAACTGGATGTAAAATCAACAAGGAGAATAATAAAGTCACTTACACACAGTCGGTATCCCGATGCTGCTGTGTGGGCTATTTTTGTGGAGAGGTTTGTTACTCGTAAAAGTCGTGTTTTGTTAGGCTTAAAAAGCGACGAAAAGTGTTTTTACGCAAAAACGCGTCAAATCAAGCAGAGAGCTCATCCCGGTTCGTCACTGAAGCACCAAAGTCTGTCCACTGTGTCAGTCACTCTGCGTCTGATGCTAATGATGAAATAAAAATGTCATCCAAGTTAAATGCGGAAAGTATAGGCGATTGGGCATGTACAATGGCAAATGGGATTGGGAGAGAGAGAAGGAGGGATGGAGAGAAGGCCGTCCCCCTGCTCCACGCGCACTCTGTGGCTGAGCCCCTGGGCGCTCGCCTGTTATTGGTCTCACACTACAATTAGGCAGCAAATGAACACTGGGCTTTTAGCGCTCTGTGAAGCTGCAGGATAAGCGCCAAGGATGAATGACGATCATAACGATCAAGTGACAATTGGACGAATGTACAAGTTTAAGAAGTTTGTGGCTCCAGATACGTCTCCGATCAGGCCTTTAAGAAAGGAAAACGTCATAGGTTTAGAGAATTGTATTCATTGTATTTATAAACAATTCCCTATTAAGCTTCTAAAATTAGGCGTGTCAAAGTTTTAACATGAGAAACACCGTGTTGGTAACGTGGCTAAATTGAATATGAATTTAAACATGTCCAATAAAACTCTATTTTGCAAATGGCCCTATTTGAGATGACGTTGTTAATATGGGCGTAGTCAAGTTGTAAAGTCAATGCGTTTTAATGGAGGATCTTAATATTATCTTAATATAGTAAACAAAGACGTGTGTTTACTCTATTTACTCTGGTATGTATATTATATTATGGAGGTCTTCCTTTTCACTGATGCGTCTGTACAAAGGCCTGCGCGCGCATCGAGCTGTTAAAGATTCACATGAGTAACACATTCATGTTGTGGATATACGCTAAATGTGATAATATTTGATTATGGGAATTTTCGATTTAGGCTTCTGTTGTAATAGTTGCATTTATTAACTCATTTGAATGGACTTGTTTAACTAGAGTGGAAGCCTGCCGCCAGAACAGCGTGGAGACAGCGTCCTCTATGGGTGGTGACCGGGAACTGCATGAACCTGTATTGTCAATATTCTAATTCGGGTTCGTCCTGCTTGTAAACATTAGTACATTATTAAGCATGTATTTATTTATTGATGTATTTTTTCCACACTTAATTTGCTGCCTCCTTTAGCCCTGTAGCCTTGACACAACCTCAGTTTCCTAATAGAGCCATGCACAGCCTCCCCCTTGAGAACTAAGCTTATGCAGCAGGTATATGGCCACAAGTGTTACATTTCCTAATCGTTCATTGGTTTGGTTGAGAGTAAGTACAGATGAGCAGCCCGAGCACAGCTATCCTGTTACTGCAGTGTAATTACTGCGTCACATGGTCATCATCACAACACTCAGCAGCACAAGTGAAGTATGACCTGTGATGAGCAACTTAAGAAGGAAAACTATACGTGTGGTGCACTATTAGTAAAGACAGTGAGTGTGGCCTGTCGTTATAAAGTTTGCTTATTTATAAAATGTTCATATTACTGCTAGAAAGAAGAATGGCCCACAATAACTTGCTCTATTTATCTACAGTATATAGTGATAAGGGAAATTCTGATGAATGATACATTTAGTGGCCCATGTTTTAAAGTTGCATTGTTCTCTCTGCAACTGTCCTGTGGGCAGGGTTTTTGGTTGCTTACATCTAAATTTGGTCGTTTTGCCTGGATATTTATACAGTTTTTATTATTAAACTTTCATGTTACATTGGAAACAACCATGTGACTTCACTCAGCTAAAATACACACACACACACACAATCACACATATTTACACACTGGTTCAGGAAAGAAACTAAACATAAGATATGAAATATGAAAAAAAAAATCATAAAAAAAAAAGACTTTAAATAGAACACACATTGAGTTAAGATTAAGAGTAGAGATCCTTTATTCGCCCCACAGTGGGGAAATTTCAGTGTTGCATCACAAGTTATAGAACAGAAGGAATGAGGAGCACACAGCACAAGATAAGTGAACAATAGCTATACTAATTAAAATAATACAAAATCTCTAACTCTAGCATCAATAACAAGTATACAATTTCTAAATTAAGGTTATATCTATGAAGAGGCCAGTCTTCTCACTGTAAGGAATACTAATTATTGAATACATGTTTTAAAATCAAATGACATTCCAAGTAAGAAAAATAACAAATCTATAACATTTGAGGAATGCAAATAACAAATGATAAAAAACACACAATGTATCCGATGTTTTTCATCCAGTTACTGTCATTGAAAATGCTTCTAATTGGGGACGATGTGTAACGAAAACGAAACAGCAAAGTGTTATGTTTGACGTCTGTTCATTTCGTAGTTCATACAGAAAACATAGTCTTTATGATCCATTAAAATATTAAGCTTAAAAAAGAAAGATAGATATTAATGAATATGAATAGGTTCTTCATAACAATAACGACGGATTTGTCTGAGAATAAAACAAACCGTAACCCTTTGCACACTGCCCCTTTAAGATTTTCCTCGGCTCTGCATTGATCACAAACATATATGTCCAGTGCCCAGAGGCCTTACAGACCCTCACAATGTTCCATAAGTCTATTTTTGTTGCTCCTTGGGTAGGTTACGATGACTTTTATATTATTTATTTCAAAGCGCCTAGATATTGATTATTTCACCAGGAAAAATGACAAATGGCAGCAGGGAATGACACGGTCAGCAGGTTCTATTAGAGAAATGATAGTGTTGCTCGTGGTTTGTTAAAAGCTCCAGTTTAGATACTTTATAGGTTTACATCCATCATCTTCTAATGACTGGGCTGATGAAAAACACCAGGTCTGGTGACAATGGCCCCGTGCAGCCAACTTTGCTGCGTAATTGCTCCCATATTAAATATAGATTTTTGTTTTGATATCTTGTGAGAATTTCTTTCATTGGCTCAGAATTGTGATAAAGGACGTGGATACAATGGCAAAAGGCTCAAAGGGCAATAACTAGGAGAGGAATGGGAGAAATAGGAGCTGCTAGCTTCTAGAAAAGGTAGCAATAGCTGTAGTTTGTCATTGAACAAACGTTAGTGCATTGTACCCACATGATAATGCTTCAAATGTTTATGAATGATATTTTACTTGTTATTCTATTGCTAGTAACACTCCACAGTTCCTGGCACTAATATACGGAGCTGCTTGTTGAGAAAATCAACGTTATTTATTCTTTTAGCAGTGTGCTCCCATTGTGGAGGATTGTGGCACATTACCTTCTTTATAAATGAGTCTAGATAAGCAATCTGCTGGTCTCTAGTACATTCATGCATGTAATGTAAAAGTGGACTCTGTGATTAAGCAGAGCGTTTACTCAGGCCTTTTGGAGATCTAAGTGTGCGAGGGCATCTGCACAAACAGCCTCGTGTGTCACTGAGCCACTGCACTGTGCGCCCTCTGTCCACTTTAAACTGGACACTTCAGTTTGTGACGAGCCATTACCCAGCCAAGGCCACTCCAAGATTGCCCAGATTTAAGTATTGTATTTAAACTTGTAAAGGCATCGGTGTCTGTCCACTGACCCAGCACGCTTTAATTGGGATTGTGCAGATATTGATTGGTGAGTGGCCAGCCCTGGTTGAGTTACAGCCTGATTAGCTTTTACTCGGCACCGCGCTCAGGCCTGGCCAATGAGCTCAAAGTCACACCGGTTGAAGCACTTCACCCTCCACTTAACTACAAGGACTACACTTACTTCCTGTGTCAACAGGAAACTGCTGCTTGGTAGTGCGTGAGTGTAGTGATCTTTAAAGAAATGCTTCATAAACTGATCACCTGCATTCAAGGTTAAAAACATGTTTGGAATCACTCAGGACTGGATTCTGTAAAAGTAACAGATGATTATGAGACTATTTTCTTTGTAATTTCATGTTTTAGAAAATTTACAAAATTATTTTGGCCTGTAACTTCCAATGCTACCACCAGGGGGAAAAACAAATGCATGGACAACAGTAGCTTTTAGACAGAAGGGGCAGAGTTTCATGTTTGTGTCAGAAGTTCCTGATATATCTGTAGATGGACCTAAAACAACTCCAGGTCTGTTTTTAATGTGGAACAAGTCTATTTTGCAAAATATGTCTCCTTTAAATGTGTGCATACATGACTATACCATGTGCACTACTGGTCTGTTTACCTGATGGTTTGACCTGGTATCGAGCCAGTGGAATAGTGGACAGCAGTTTTAACTTGGGATTTAATTTCAATTTCAAGATGTTTTATTTGTCAAACCAAGTGAATGGTTTGAAATTATATTTCTCTCATCCTTGATTGTGGAGCGGGGGGTGGGGGAAGAGGGGTGGGAGGGAGAGCAGGGAGTTCAGCTTCCTGATGGCCTTGTGAATGAAACTGTTTTTAAGTCGACTGGAACTGTTCCGTAAATTCTGCAGTCTCCTCCCTGAAGGCATTACCCTGAAGAGCCTGTGTGATGGGTGCGTAGGGTCCCTGGTGATTCTGACGGCTTTGCGGGTGAGACGGGTGGAGTACATGTCCTTAATGGTGGGGAGAGGGGCTCCACAGATCTTCTCTGCTGCTCTCACGATGCGCTGGAGGCTCCTTCGGCAGGAGGCAGTGCTGGTGCCGTGCCACCCAGTGATGGAGCTGGTCAGGATGCTCTCTACAGTCCCTCTGTAGAAGTTGCACACAACGGAGGCCGGGACTCCTGTAGCGCCTCTTGTGACGCCTCCACTGTGCTGCAGATGCGTGGAGCCCTCGGTGACCTGTCAGCGCTTCAGAAAATGATATCTCTGGATTTGTAGGTCTTAAATACTGCTCAAAAAGCCTTTAGCTCAGATGCTAACTGTGTGTTTACTTTTAAAAACACATCCT